GGGAGTATTTTTTTTAAATGGTGCAAGGTTGAATTCTTAAAAATTTCTTTTGGCTTAACGTTAAGTAACCAAACTGCAATAAAAAGAAAAAAATAATAGGACTAATGATACACTTCTGAAAGTTCGAAGAGAAAACAAGTAATTTATGAAAAAATAAGGACTTAAGGTATCCCCAATGCAAGCAGCCTTATTGAGCTGAGACTTTTTCAAACTCTGCTACGTCAACTTTTTATTTTTTTAATATTCTTCTTAAGACTTTCAAAAAAATTACCCCAATATTCAAACTTTTTCGGACTGTGCCACTTTTTTTTAGATTATTCTTAGTATTTTATTTTTTTAGATTCTTCTTAGTATTCCACTTTTTTTATTCCATTAAATTTAAGTATATTAAATCAATTATCAAATATATAATTTTACTAAACACAGAATTTTCTACCAAATGTATCTATAAATTTAACGAAAACTTATAAAAATTAAACAACATTAAATGTTACAGAGTACAAAGTATTTATTAAAATAAGAAAACACTATATAATAAATAGTAAACAAACAAATTACATATAGTTAAATGAGAACATTTTGATAAAATCACATAACTAAACACACATAAAAAGGATATTCCATAAAATAAAAATAAAAGCACAACCGCCACAACAAATGGTTTTGGTTTCTTTACATTTTAATTTTTTAAAGTTATTAATATGTTTGGTTTTTTTTTTTAACTTTTTTGGCTTTTTACAAAATTTGAAGAAAATGTTATTCTTAGAGAATAATCATTATGAATTACATGTGTAGTTTTCATTGAATAAATTGATTTTGGAGTGTTGGAAGTGAGTCTTGTTGGAATACATGAGTTCAACCCTTTCTGTGTTGTTAAGTGCTGACTCACAGGTTTTGATAATTGACAAACACAATTTATTCAAGTCAAGATCAAAGTGCTACAACGACAAACACGAAGACTTGAAGTGCCATTCCTTGAAGTATTCAAGAAGGTGCACAGGATTTTATTGGAGTCCGAGACGCGTTCGGAGCGCCTAACGGAGGACTCGGAGGAGTAGAAGATTTCTGAAGACTTTTTATTTATTTGAGTCGTAGGAATATTTGTAAGGATGACAAAAATATCTTCTCTCCAAAATTATTTTTATGAGAGTTAAAATAAAAATTATATTTATTTTTGGAGTCAGTTGAAAAATCTTTTTAACTGTTCAAAATAGTTTTATTGAGTCAGTCACAAAAGGTGTGCCAAACATTTATCAAATATTTATTTTGATAATATAATATATTTTTGGTAAGCAAAAATATTTTATTCAAATATTTTTTGTGTACATCGTTTGACACACAAAATATTTTTGGAACTCATTTTCTACACCAAAAATATTCTTTGTAATTCAAATTTTGAATTTGAATTATGTTGGTTGATTGGGGAGCCTTTTGATTTGATTTCCTTGTCCAAAACAAAGCATTTAACTCCAAACATCCATCCCACTCGCACACATGCTTTGGGTCCTCGTGTTTGGGCTCTGTCCGTCATTGGATCGATCCTTTCTTGTGGATCGATCATATTGCTTTGCGCTCACGGATTGGGATCGATCCATCTCCCTGGATCGATCCGTCGAAGGCTTGCGAAAATCCGTCTCATGGTTTTTGGTTCCAGAGGATCGATCCCCCGTAGCTTTGACAGAAATCTTTGTTCGATCCTTTACTCCAGGTGATCGATCCTCACCCTTGGATCGATCCCCAACGGCTTTTTTTTTCAAAATCAGCCTTCCCCACTTCCAACGGATTTGTTTCTTTTTCATCTATTTAAACACTCTTCCTTGGTCTGTTTTCTTTACAAGAAACACTCTAATACTCCCCATTCTTGAGGTGTTAATCCTCCATCAATCTTTCCTCAAATTTATATTATTTTGAGAGAAAACTAAGTGTTTTCAAGAGAGTGTTTTGTCATCCATTAGAGCTTTAATCATTTCTCTTATCTACTCTTTTGAGAGCTATTGTTGAGAGGTTGAAGAAGATTGTTCTTCTTGTTGTTCAAGGCTTATGTGATTTAAGTCTTGGTTGTGAAGTCTTGTAGAGGGCATATCTACGAGCGGTTGTGTCGAGGCTTGTGGGATTCAAGTTCTCGAGTTGTAAACGGTTTGTTAAGCACCCGTAAGCTTAACTGAAGTAGTGGTAGCTTCGAGAGAGTCTCTCGGGGAACTGGACTAGCCACGAGGTGGTGAACCAGTATACATCGGTGTGTTCTTTGCCTTCTCTCTTTTATTTCCGCTGCACTTACGTTTGTATTATTAATCCTGCGAAAATCGGTAAACATTCTCAACAACTCTATTCACCCCCCTCTAGAGTTGCACGCCTTGTCTAACAAGTCTGAGATTTCAAAAATTACTTTAAACGTTCCCAACTTTTTATCATCCCCAATGGTGAAGTCTTGATAAGGGAGTCTCAGGGCCGGTCCCAAGGATTCATCAGCCTGGGCCGAAACAGAAAAAAGGCCCTAAAAGTCTTATCCTTAATGGTCTAAAAAATTCACATATGTAAACTAATTATATTTAAATTATAATTAACGCAATATTATTAGAAGAAAAAAATAAATGACAAAAGCTAGCCGAGGATTCGAGAAGTTCTCCTTGCATTCTTGAGAGCAAATTGGTTGATCACATCTTCACAGTCTATGCTCTCTAAGATTTCATTCTCGATAGCTATTACCGCCAATCTACTAAGTCTTTTACTTCTACCTCTTCGTCTTCAGCAACAGGTTTCATAAACTTATATAGAGCTCTGACTTGAGACTTTCTCATTTCTTCATCTCGTTTTCTCTTTTTTCTTTTTTGACTACCGGATAATTATTTAGGAGGCATAGCTATTGGATTATTTCTGAAATGAAATCCAAAATCATAAATTCTACTAAGGAAAATCAAGAATAAAAAACTGAAAAAAGCAAGCAAATAAATAAATAGATATATCATAAATTAATATCAATTCGTCAATTTTTCTTTTTTAATTGTTTTTTTCTTTTTTAGTTTTAATTTTTTTATAAATCATAAATTCATATCTATTCATCAATTAATCAGTTTTTAATTTTTTTTTCGGTTTTTTATTTTTTTTAATATAAATATATAATTATCATAAATAACAAATTCAAATCAATTCATCCAAATGAAATAAATAACATATAGAACCAATCATTCATTCTATTTCAAAGAATGAAATTAGAAAAGATTTCAAATTAAAAACTAATAATTAACCCTATATTTTAAATCTAAAAAATGAAACAATGAAATTATGAAAGAAAATTAAGATTTAAGAAATAAAAATTACAAAATTGGAAAGGGAAGACTGAATAATTACCTGGAGGGTGGAGGCGTGCGCGGAGATGGACGGCGACTCAGTGTCCGGCGGTGGAGGCGAGCAGCGTGCAGGTCGGCGACTTGAAGTTTCTAGAATCTGGTTTCTTCGATGAGTTCGATCGGCACTTCGTCTTGCGCGTCTCTTCCGTTTCGTTTTTTTAGTCTACAGACTACTGGACTGGGCTAAGTTAAGGGATGGGTCATGGGCCTGGGCTTATACACATATATATAGATAATACTTAAAAAAAAATTTTGTGCCCCTCAAAAATTTAGGCCCGGCCCAGACGGACACCTTGTCCCCCTATTGGGCCGGCCCTAGGGAGTCTTAAGACGTACACTCTCTTTAGGCTTGCTCAAGACTCTCATTGAAGATACCTTAATACGGAGTAGTATATTTTTCAAAGTTTAGAAGGAAAATATGTACTTTTGAAAGAGTTTGGAGGTAAAACACGCACTTTATGAAAAAGCATAGAGACTAACGGTGTATTTTTAGAAATTCGGGAGAAAATATGCACTTTATGAAGAATTCATGAGTAAATGACGCAAACAACTCATTTGTTTAAGGGATTGTTGGAAATTAAACACACAACACATACAAATATTTGCGAGAAAAAATGAGAGAACGGCACACAACAATTTAACGCAGTTCAGTTTCCCTAATCCCCGGCTACAACATGAGGATTTTATTCACTTGTCGTGTCTACCGAATTACAAGTACAAGATGCGTATATATAGGAGGACACCTTGGGCTACAAAACTTGTTCCTCAAGAAACAAGAAATAAACGGGCTAAAAAATAAATTGGGCCAATCCTAGTCGGACCCAAACATATCTATTCTCGAAATAAGAGTTAAAATGCATATATAGTACGAATCATGACCATATACATTATGAAAAAATATTGTCAAATATTTATATACGATGTCACATTAATGCAAACCCTATTTTGGGGATAAAATCATGGAGTTCATACTTTGGTTTTTCTATGTTTTACTTTTATTTATAATGATTTCTTTTTGTTTAAATCTTTTTACACTTTGCATAGATACAAATTTACAATAACAAACATGAAAGCAAATGTCGGGAATAAGTATACTCCCTTCATTTTATATCTTTCTTCTCATTTTACTTTTTACGGTTTCAGTACAACACTTAGACTATTAATATTTTTATTTATAAACAGAGATTATAAAGAAATGATACTTTAAAGAAGGTTGGTAATCTTAAACCAATTGAATTGGTGTAAGATTGTTAGACCAATTCAATTGGGGCACTTACGGTACTCCGGTCGTAAAATTAATTATCTCTACTCTCCTAACCCCCAACCCGGCCCATCCCTTACGCACCCCTGCACGCTTCCCATTGCATCATCCAAATTTTGAGTCAAAAATTGACCATAAAGTCAACAAAATTTTGGATAAATTGACCATTTTATTTTCAGAAAATAATTGTTACGAATTACTCGTGTCTAGTTTTCATTGGATAAGTTGAGTTAAAAATCTTAGAAGTGAGTCTCCTGGGAGATTAAAGAGTCACTTCGAGACTCTCAATTTTTTATCTACCTTATATTTTGGTCATTAATATTTCTATTTGTAAATAAACAAATATTTTTTTTAAAAAGTATGATATTTAAAAACCACTTTTCAAAATTAATCTATTGATAATAAATTTATATCACAATTCAATGTATGTTTTACTTAATTTGCGATCAAAGTTTAAAAACGTTGAATACAAAAATCAAAATAGGAGGAAAGATATGGGAGGAAGAGAGTAAAATTGGACTACTTAAAGCTAGGTTAGATAGCATAGCAATTCGCATGACCATGAAATGTAAAAATGCAGTAGTTCTAGGCTGCCGATTTGTACCTACTGATGACCTTACACCTCAGTACTCTGTCGTGCACGTAAAACCCAGGCATGACCATGACCTTAACCCGACTTGGACCTTGAGATTTTTGTCTATCCCCGAAAACATCATCCATGAAATGAGAATCAAATGGTCTGTTCTCTTCAACTCTGAGGATTACCACAGGCGGGCAGAATGAGAACGCCAGCAAATGCAGCAGCCAAATGCACTTAGCAGACACGAAGAAGGCTTGGAGAAGCCGCTCGGGCCATTGCCTGTTCCACTTAAGGGCAGTGATAATGGAACTCATTTTCTGATCACAAAACCTGCTGAGCTCTTCACTGTAATACTTTGTCCCCCTTTTTAACACTTCATTCCAACTAAGGCTCCTTAATGCCGCAAACGATGAGAATTGCGAGTGTCGTTCTTGTTCTGGACTCAAATGCTTTGGGGCTCCGTTCTTCTGAAACGAGCAATTCTCGAAATCCTCGTACAAGGTCTGGTTTATGATGCCTTCCAAATGGTATAGAACAGCCTTTGAATACTTTGAATGGAGGGTCAGTCTATACGGTTGGAGCAGAAGGTTCAAGTTATCCGTTAAGGAAGCATTGTCGTTATTAGTCTCGACAGTAGTTGTGTGGGAAATAAGAGTTTCGCAGAATTGCTTAACCGATTGTCTAGCCTCCGACACGACTTGCAAGAAGCCCTCCAACATTACTTCCTCGCTCACTGGCATTGAGTTTCCTCCTTCCACAATTCTTGGAAGACTCTTATTAATTAGCTTCACTGGCGAGTCCTCCTTTGATGATGATTGAATTGCTAGCCTCAACGCCTGCTTAAGCTCTCCACAGTATCTCTCCAAGTACTCCAATTTCCCCCTGATTTCCCCGATAGAAGATTTCGTTTCTGCAACTTCCATCAGCGCTGCGTCTCTGTCCTCATTCGCTGCCATCACCTCCTTCTTCAATGCTTCTATGGATGTCGATCCTATATCCTCTGATTCCGACGCCGTCCTTAGCGGTGAAAATTCATTCTTGATTTTCTTCCTCAGCCAAGAGAAAATCAACCCTTTGTTCTTTGGTTGCTGCGGTTGAGCAGAAGAGTCTGATAGTGGCACAACAACGTTACAAGGATTCTTTCCAATCTTGCTGAATTCGGCGGCTCCGTGGACTACACTCTGCTGGTCAGCAAAACTGTTGGGTGATTCTGTGTTGGCAGAAGTAGCAGCAAATGCATTTCTTAAGGAAGATTTTGGTTTCTGGTAGTAATAATAATAATCTGATTTCACCGATACGTTTCCACTTTCGGTTCCTTTTCCTCCTCCAACGCTATATTCGTCGCAAGTTTCAGCGTAGTTTAGGTTGTTTTCTAGCTGCAGATGTTTGTAGCCTGGCAATGGCCCCTCCTCATCATAACTCTGTCAAATTATACTCCTAAATGGTGAATCATTGCCTCACAAATTAAACAAACATGGAAGGGTATGTATGCCTTTTAGACTTTAAAATGTGACTTCAACGACTATATATGTTGTATATGCTCACAAAATGTTGGGAGACAGTAAACACCATGACAAAATCATGGTATTTTATAAAATAATCCTTGGAAAGAGATTTAAAAAAAAAGCATGAATAATAGTAAAAATGAATCTTTTTTTGAGATGAAGGAAATAGTGTATCTATGTCAATATGTGATATGTCATGCACCATGTCTGCATATGTTTTATTTTGACAAAAAAAAAAAAAATCTACCGTTCAAAAAAATTGTTAGCATTATTTTAGACCAAAATAACTTGAATATTACTATTCCTCGATTTCTTTAAACCCTTCTCATTTTGACTTTGGACCAAAATAAAGGTGTAATTTTGATTGACTTTCCAATTTTTTCCCTGATGTGATGGGTAAAAGAAAGATGTGATAGTTTGGTTATTAGTAAAAAATATGATCTGATAGGTCGGGTATGAAAAAGTAGGGGTAAAAGCGGTTTTTTAATAGAAAGTGGAAAAAAACAAAAGAGGAAGCGTTTTATGGAACGGAGTGAGTGAGTATATAATCTACAACTTTATTTTATGGAGTATATAATCTTTGGCATTTTGGAGTTTTGAAAAGTTATTCTTTACTATTCCCCTGTTTACTATTCCAATGTGCAGCAGCCCCTCGCGGGGTCCGAGGGACAGAGTTGTATGGGTGGGGTTGCTCCAAAAAATGTACAAAAATTGATCGTTCGAAAATAGCCCAAAAATCGCATGTAATTCATAATATCAATTCGCTGTATGGACCCATCTTCGCGAACGTATGTGTTGTATGATCACAACTTTTCATTTCTATAAATAAAGAGACGTAGGTATGGGTTGAGATACGAATGGGAAAAACTTTTTCTTGATTAACGTCTTGTCTGATTAAAGTATTTTGGTATATCCCGAAATACTTTTGATCTGAAACCGTTTATCGTAATTCGTTAAACTATCAAGTCGTAATTGTAGAACTAATACAGCGGAAAAAAAATATAATCCAAAGTTATAAGAAGTTCGGATTTTACAACGAAAAAAGGAAAAAACAAAAAATTACAAGAAGACGCTGGTGGTCGAAAACAAACGGAGAAGGAAAGCGGAGTCGCCAGAGCTTTCCTTAAGGTAGTATTGCCCGCCTCCCGCACTGGCAAACCTGGACGATCCCCTCTCAGGAGAAAATCGCTAAAGTGCAAAGTCTAGAGCGGTAGATCAATGCACCAACGAACTAGAACGAAGAGGAGCTATTCGCCGGAAACTTATAAGAAAACAAGAAGAGTTGTTGGACGCAGAGAGTATTTTTCTGAGTGTGTCTTCTGCTGTGGATTCGCCCTCCTTATATAGGAGGGGAGAGACTCTTGGGACGGACTGGGTGGACTACCCGAGGCGTCACAGGTCCTTCACCATTCGCCTCCCAGGGCGCGTATGATTCAGTCTCATAAATAGATAAGGGTTCGGTCCACACCCTCGCCATGTCCCGATGCGTCGCGCACACGCCAACACGCGTTTGCGCGCGCGCGAGAGCGTGGCGAGTCAGACGGCGGGGGCGCTGCGTGAGGGCTCCTTTGGTTCTCCCTCCATAAATTACTTTAGAATGCTATTAAAGACTAGCCTATAAATAGAAGAAGTTGAATAGTTTCAAATCCAATATGTGATACGTGGGTTTACCCCTTCCAAGTATTCGACTTTGTGAATTAATTTCTCATTCACCCGATCACTAATTTTAGCGCACAATATATCGAAATACTCGTCTCACTTGAAATAAGATATGTCCATAATTATTTTCAAAAAATAATTTTATGGTCTTACCGAATTCACGAGTCAAGATTCCAACAGTAACTCATCCGTTTCTTTGTTCATTTTTTTGGCAAAGCTGCTTCGCAGCGTTACGTTCTTCCTTAAAACAAATTTCTAACACGGAGAACAAGCCCTAAATAAATTGATGGTATCGCGTCGTTTGTCATATGGATTAAGTAAGATTATGATGCACAACTTTATGATAAAGGTTGATATAACGAACAATAAAAAGATTAAAATGTGGCGATAAAGTATTAACCGTATTAAACAAAGCTATAGACTTTTCATCTCATTCACAAGACAAAATCCTAAAGGGTCAACCAAACATGATTGCAAAAGTCACTTTTTGTGATAGATAGTCCTTTGATACTTAACCAAATCTTTGAAAATTTACAAACAATTTTCTAAAGAATGTGTATGATTAAGATACTCTGCATTCGAGTAATAGAGTTGCCAGTAGAGGCACTAAGAAGCAGACAATATTATGCTGTTGCATTCATTGAACTTACTTCGTTTCTAATGTATGTATCTAACAATGGAAATTATGTTAATACATAAATGTCTACATAATTGACCAAAATATCTTAATTTTTAAACAAAGTAAAAGTTAAGCACCCTGGGGTTCCCTAAACAGAGTTTCAATTTCATGGAATAATAGCGGACAACATAACTGCTGCGACTCTTTTATAAAATTGATGGTTTCTAATCATTTTAATTTTCAGCCCCCACCCGAGCATCCATATATTCCTTCAACACGGATTTGTTATATTAATAATGTACAAATATGTATAGNGGGGGGAGGCTAGGGGCGAAGGAGTGTTAGGGTGGGGACAAGGTGGGCAGAGTGGGTTTTGAGGGGAGAGGGGTTGGGAGTAAAAATTAATTGTTTCAAAAAACGGTTCTTATTTTAACTTTTGTGAGAAATAAAGAGTGACTATTTGTAATTGATTTTTCAATTTTATCCTTGATGTGATGCGCAAATACAAGATGATGTGATGAGTAGATTTTTAATGAAAATGTATGATATGATAGGTATGTTAAGAAAAAGTAATGGTAAAAGTAGTTTTAAGTAGGAAGTGAATGTGTTTTGGAAAAAGCAAAAAAAATTAAAGAGAAAATGTTTTAAGAAACGGAGAGAGTATCAATTTTACAAATCGAGTAACCGTAGTTGTCCAATGTCGTCCCATTATATTGAAACCCTCAATGTTATAGGAATCGACCTCAAAACTAAGTAGGTGACTTTTGTTTGGAATAGTAAAAAACTTGAACGAGAGAAAAAGAAAATAAAACTTTGAAATATCACAAAAATAAAAACGAAACAAAAATAATAGGTCATGGGCTACTTCTCCTATTATGACAACAATGGAAATTTATCAACCCGAGGTCCGCCACGGCCCCAAAAATACTTCATTGAAGATTTGAAGTTAGTAGAAGAGGTAAATCGCGGGTAGTACGTGACTCAACTAGCTAGCGACAATATGATTTTTGTCACGACCAATCTAACCATACAAGGGGCTGGATAAAAAAAGACGCTTCCAGAATTTGAACCCTTAGGCCGCAACAAGGCTCACCCGATGCCTTGCCCATCTGAGTTGGGCCTCAGAGGCTCTTTGCGTTTCATAATTGATCACTCTTTTAAATTTGTTCTATTTATAAATTGATATGCAAATTAAAAATAAAATTTACATATTAAAAATTAAGAAAATAGTTTTATAAAACAAGTGACACATTTATTTATCAAATAATAAGGATAGAAAACATACAAATAAATAAAAATTATTGGAAATACTCCATAGTAGGTTATTTTAAAATTTGCAGTAAACAGAACTAAAACGTAAGTAATTTCTGAATATAGAGCTGAAACTTTTTTATTTTTTAAATAGTACTTAATAATGTCTAGTGTAAAATAAGTATTCGGCGAAATAAAAATAGCCTTAAATAAGTACACACCCAGAATAAAATTTGTAGAAATCACTCTAAATATGACTAAAACATAGAAAAAAGTACCTAGATAAGAGTTCGATTTTTTATTCCCGAAATAAGACTTCGCACTGTGGTAAGGTGATTGTAATGTGACATTGTACATGTGCAGGTTACTATAATTTTTGGTAATGTGCATGACCATGTTGGCAATGTAAATGCATTTTAACTTCTATTTCGAGAATAAAAACATGAAAATTCTATTTTGATATATTTTCAATGTTTTGCTCCAACTTTAGTCTTTGTTCCTAAAATTTGAAGGTGTGAATAAGGAAAGATGATTTCATTTCAGGAGGGACGGATGAAGTAGCTTCAGCTCTCATCCTTCAACGAATCAATTTTTTTTTTTTTGAAATGGGAGAATAAGGCAGCTGCAGAAGAAAAGGAAATGACGGATGGAACTTACAGGAGTGAAAACAGGGTAATCCTGAGCGGAGAAGTGAGGAAGATGATGAGGTGATGAAGCGGTAGAGAATCTGAGACTTGCTGGGCTGCCACCGCCCAGCACCAGAGCGGCATGGAGGGCCCTCAGCTCCGCCGCTTTGGCAATGGCGTCTTGAATCTCTTCCCTTCCCAATTTACTGCTTCCGTTTCCTACACAGCTATCTGTAGTTGTTGCAGCCATATCATGGAACGAACAAGCAAACACAGTACACTTATTTGCTTGGGCGGAAAAAGACTAGTATAGGATGATGGGTGAATTGTGGCCGGGATGGTCGGGATTTGTTAATTTTATGCAGAGGAAACGATCATATCCATACCATATATGATTGTGGAAGGACCAGAAAAAGAGAGAGAGAGAGAGAGAGAGAGAGAGAGAGAGAGAGAGAGGGTGGGGTGTAATGGAATTTTGAAGGGCGGAAATCCAAAATGGGGATTTGTCTTTACATTTAAAGGTCTCTGTAGGATGAGTGCATGTGAAGAAAAAAGAGAGATGTATGATGTGTTGTTGGGTTCAGTTGTTCATACTAGTTTCCTTTGTCCGTAGCCAACGCACGAATATTTTCACATTCTAAATTACTCCCTTTGCCCCATCCAAAACTCGATATTACCAACGGATTCCCACAAAATATTTTCTATTTTCACTTTTAAGTAATTTAAAGAAGAGATATTTTTTCGTTGACTTGTCCAAATTGCTCTTGAATGTGATGAGTAGATAAATAGTGAATAAATATGATGAAATATGTGATGTCAGAATTAGTCAAAATAAAAATAATTTTTTTTAATGGAAAGTCCATTTTTAAGAATATAAGATGTCTAAGTCAAATTATTTTATGCAACAGAAAGAGTAGAAATGAAAATATATGGAAGTTTGTTTTGAGACGTCAAACAAGAAAAGTGAGAAAATTAGTGTGACAGATAAGTATTTTAAGACAATTGTTGAGGACCCATTTTGTGGCTCAAAACAAACTAAAATTTATAAAATAATCCTTAGCTAACCCCCAATAGATATACTCAATTAAAAACTATAGCTAGGCAAGAAAAGGTCGATCTCACAGAGAAAATTTGTACTTTTTAAAACCAATTTATCATGCACAATGTTGTCAGAAAATAAAAATAAAAGAAAATTAACAAAAATACATATGATAAGAACTTACAAAACTTATAATAGAGCTTATAACTAAATAAACATAAAACTTATAAATAACTAATATAAACAAAGAATTTATAATATAACTTAGACACAGCACATACTAAACATATAAGTAGATAAAGTATAAAAACTTATGTTTAAAATAACTTATAAACAAACACTTACAATATAAACTTGGTAGATAAAAACTTATACTATAACCTAGACAAAACACAAAGGGGGGGGGGGGTAAAAAAATAAATATTTTTTAGTATTTTTTATATTTTTTTATTATTTTTTTTAATAATATGGGGGGGACAAGCTCGAAAAGATTTGATCAACTTAATCAACCTACGTAACTCATGAACATCACCAAGAACCCGAAACAAAACAAAAAGAGACCAAACACACAAGACCAACATTAAACATATCAACCATGCTAGGGGTACACCAAAAAGTAAACCCCAAGTTGTATCCCAAGGAAATGCATCAACATTTTAATGATTTACACTGGCACAAAATGTTAGCTCGATTAAAAAAATTTGCAATGACATTTTTTGTCAATGTAAATCACCACACTGGCATCACATTAGTACAAAATGCTAGTGTATGTCTTTGGGGTACAAAATAAGGTACAAATTTTGGTGTACATATAGCTTGATCCTAAAAATATAATAGGCACATAAACAATATATTTCGTAACTTACACACATAAAAATTGGAATAATCAATCAAAGGCCAATTTGATTCATTTTCTTAACCACGATATGGAGAATTGTCAACTCTCCACACCGCCCGAAGTCATGCAATTCAAAGACCCGTTTTGAAATATACTTTTGAACCCCAACTCTCTATTCAAGCATGAAAACAAACTTCCACTATAGAAAAACTTTATAAAAGAGGAAATCTATAATGCATTCAACTCGCATACATAATCTAATCACAAATCCACCAATAAATTATGCATTTTAGTAAACATTAACTCCTAATGATGAACACATTTCACAGATTTTCATTAACTTCTCAAACCTATGACGTTTTTTCTATTCACATAAATTAACACAACACATATTTTTAATTAATCGAGATTTTTATTTTTTAGTATAAACAACCTCAACTTTATGAAATTGACAAACAAGCTAATTAACGAAGACAATGATCGCACAATAACAAATTCTAAGGAAAATAGATCAACTTATGGGGCTAAAAAGTCCATGAACCTTAAAATCAACAAACACAAACCATAATAAAGCATCACGTATAAATTCAGATTTTATTTAACTACCTTATAGAGCTAAAATAGCTTCATCAAAAACTGAATTCTTGTAACACCCAAGCCCGCGTAACCCGAACCAACAAGTTAGCGAATCGGGTTGCTACTAATTTTGTATTTACATGCAGAATATTTTAAAAATATTTAAAATAAAACATTCATTCATAATAATTTAAAATAAATATAAGTTAATCGGAGTAAACAAAATGCACTTTGCGGAAGCCTTTAAAACAAAATCATCAAAACATTCTTGTAGTTTAACGAGAATGAAGTCAACAAAGCATTTAATTCAATTTCAAACAACTTCGGGCCAATTCAACCACCAGTGTCACGCCTCACTGTCCTCCAGGTTGCTTGATCGTCCAACCCCTGATGCCTACCTATACGTAGTATTGTGCGTGGAAGAGTTTAATGTAAGAAAAAATTCATATACTGGCAAGCATTAATTTATAATCACATAGTATCTGAAGAATTAGCAAATATCATTATTCAACTGTAAGATTAATCATCCTTTTATTCAGTTCATATCTTGCACATACTTTACTTCATCACTTACCTACTAGGCGTAATCCATATCATTCCTATGGGAGTCGTGAAATCAAAGCTCTCACATGAATCCACACTCGAACTCCTGAGTTCTCACAATGGAGGGAATTGAGGCCCCCACTAGCTCTCACCACGGGTCACTAACCTCCGCACGTATGTTTTTGACCCTCGAGACCAGCAGGTGTGCGACGACACCCGCTGAGCTTATTTTCTCAATCCTATAAGTAATTCCAACACTCAATTCAATTCAAAACCGTCCAAATCTACTAGGTGGCCTATTTCCCAATTCCAATTTAATACACAATATCACTTAAATCTTTAAAACATACTTTGATTGAATTTCATCTTGCAATTGAAATCGTATGGAAGTTAATTAACCGCTTTAGCAACTGTAATACCCTGTATTAAGATGGAAAATTGGGAAGAGTTCAAAAGGATTGATAGTACTACACATACCAACAAGGTGCATCTTCTTTTTGAGAGCTCATCACTTAGAAACTCTAAAGTTAAGTGTGCTTGACTTGGAGCAATTCTAGGATGGATGACCCCTGGGGAAGTTTCCTTGGGCGCACACGAGTGAGGATAAAGTATGCGAGTAAGACTTGTGTTGGTTTGTGGGGTCAATTTACAATCCTATGAGCGGACCCTTAAGACCAGGGTGGGGGCCGGGGTGTTACAGAAACACAATCCAATAGAACAGACAATAGCCACAACAGCTTTACCTATCGCAGAACCACTTCAGTAGTGGCGACTTCGTGCAACAATGCAACCTTCGTCAGCAACTCTAGCGGACACCAACAGCATCCGCCGGATGCCAACATCAAATGGGACACAGGGTGGCTTAAATTCATTAAATAAAACAGATTGGTATATCTTAGAGTTCTTCTAGAGTACTTATAGATACCCTTAAATTCAATACACATTATATCATCAATATATTATTCATTTTTAAGTCATGGTTCAACCATTCACAAAAATCATTTTAATCAGTAGGTTCTTCAAATCATAATCATCCATTATAACCATTCATCATAATCTTTAATCAACATAACATCCAATAGCAAATAGCAACATAATTTCGAGTGTAAACACCCTAGCTTACCGTCATGCATCAAACAAAGTTTTTGCATTTATCAAAACATCATTTTTATTTCCTGAAATCATATTCATATTGACCAAAAATCAAGTTTCTGAATTTATTCAGATTGGTATAAAAGATAGAATTTCAGATTGGTATAAAAGATAGAATTTAATAGCTCAAAAATCAAGTTTCTGAAAATTTCTCGGGACATACGGTATCGCGGTTCTGCCACCGTTTGGAATCAGGTACTTTCAGAGGAAGATTTTCATTATGGTGGATACGGTAGTTAGCCTACCGTTCCGACGGTACGGCCTACCGTCCCTGCGGTACCAAGGTACCTTCTAGAGGGTAGCTGGATACCGTTCTGCGCGTAGTTTTGAACGCTTTCATCTTCAACCTCGGACCAATTTTTGGAAATGTCATTTTTAGTCACTAAACTTCAATTAAACTATAGAAATGTTCTCCAAGGTTCATAGGTAATTTTGGTAACATTAATTCATAGTTTTAACAACAATCTCAAGGTTTACGATTCTTAGTTCTTCAAGCATGTCAAACACAAAACTCAACCAAACAACCATTTATGAACATAGAAACGATCTATACGAACATTCTAGTCACTAGATATATCTACAGCTTACATCGAAGTTAAATGATGATTCCAGCAATTGAACGGCAAAACTTCCGGCGGACACTACAGCTTGCTCTAGTGACTTCACACGAAATTAACAGCACTACAACACTCTCTACACTTACATCTCTCTTTTGGAAGAAGAATGGTGAAGGTTTGAGGTGTTTATATAGTGGAGGAGTAAAGGAAGAAGCCATGGGTGATGTATCCATTTCCCTGTTCCAGCGGCTGAGTGGAGCAAACAGCGATCCCTACGGGTTTTAAAAGCAAGTCCCTTATTGGGACTAATTTTGGTCTCAGTCGGGGTACACTTTTTGGTCCAACTTTCTCCGAATTGAAATCTGATTGAACCGTTGGGGTCAGACAGTCAAACTCTATATAAGGATAAAATTTTCATTATTTATTTCCAAACTTTATAAGTCATTTATTTTTAGGTCCTTCTCAATATATAATTAATTAATTATCAATTCTGATAGGCATATTTTTGGGGCGTTACAATAGAAGTCTTACTGAAGACTGGTGGGAGCACAATAAGTATTTCGCATATCATAGGCAAAATAAGTTGAAAGCTCATTTCTCATGAATGTAAATAATTGTTATGTGCTCAAATCTATGAATCT